CTGTGTGCAGGTAATCAGTTTTTGGTTTCTTGGTAGTTGTAAGATTTGTCTTGTGTGGGTATCAGTTCTTAGGCCTTTAGCTTTATGTTCAATTTTTCATTTCATGTGACCCAATAAGAAAGTGGTGAATGAATTTGAATCATTTTTGTGATCTGTCATATTGTTTATACTTCTTAACACATTCCAAGACATGCTTTCGTTGCCTGGGTTGCTTAAAACCAGAGACAAGTGTAGTCGCTCAAGCAGGAATTTTGACAGAACGTGCTCTTTATGCTCCAGAGAATATGAGAACCACAACCACATAAATGTGGGACATACTTGGGGGTGAAGAGCGGTATTTTTTTTTTTTTTTTTGGGGGAATTTTAAGCAAATTTATAAATAAAAAAGGAATAATTACAAGTGGTGGGCCATTGGCCGAAAACAATCCAAATGAAGGAAAACAGAAGCCAAATAAGGCCCAACATGGGAAAGGCACAGGACCGTTTCCCAAACCTAATTACCGCAATTAACAGTTTCTTTAGCCGTTAATTGTGATTGTTAGTGAGTTGGTATGTAGCCCTAGAGAAGATGATCGGTGCAATTATCAGTCCGACAGCCTCGGCGGAGGATGGCAGCAAACAGGAGAGAGATTTCAGTCTGAGGGAATCTTCCTCGAAGAAGAGCAGTCGCGTAAGAACCCCAATTTAAGAGTAGCAGCAATGGTTGTAGTGATTCGAGCAAGCACCATTCTTTGTGACCGTTGCTAATTGGATAGCTAATCTTTGATACCGCATATTGAAGTCTTATAAAGCACTCTGATTGTACAACTTGGAGGTTTGTTGCTGCTCACAAAATATAATCAAACAGGGCAACTATATCTAAAATAAGATAACAAAGCATGATATATATCAACTTTCAAAAAATAAAAATAAAAATAAAAAAGCATGATATATCAATCCCTTAATTTCTAATCCATTTTTAAAGATAATATTCCCTAGGTCTCAAATTAAATATCCCTTTTAGAAAATATAACTTTGTAAGAGGATGAGTTTTATTAAATTCTTTATTTTATTGATAGAGAATGAATTATTAAATTTATCCATAGTGGGTGCATATAAATGTGATGGTTTATTTTTTTATACCTTCAATGTAAGAAGGTTAAATTTGTAATGTTACAATAAATAGTACTTTGACTTTTTAAATGAGATACTAGTATATATTTTGGGATAATTAAAAATATAAAAATTAACATTTATTTTAAATCGGAGGAAGTACATCAAATAAATGAAAGAAGATCGATTTGTCCAAAGAGATGGAAATTTGTTCAACAACTACCCACAATTACAACAAGCTTTGGTTTGGGTTTATTTACACTCAAAACATCTCAGAATTTGATACTTTGGGGCCCACTCAATGATGCAGCAACAAGCCCAAGTTCTGTGGCCCACCAAGTCAGGAGAGAAAGGTAAAATATCATTCTTCTTGGATCAATGTGCCATAGCCAAATGGCATATACCCAGAGGATTGCATATGTTGCTTCCCACCAATGTGTTTGATAACAGCAACACCTGAATTGTAGATGCGTGCAATTGCTTAAACTTTCGGAAAAAAACAAAAAAAATTATTACATGATTATCAAGCTCATCATTTATTACACTTACAAAAACTGCAATACAGATGAGATGGTGGTTTTTTTATTTTTTTTTATTTTATTTTATTTTTCTTTTTCTTTTTTCTTACGAGCACATTCGAGAAGTTGAGTGTTCTACTAATTAGACCGTTGAGTAATGAATGAAGAAGTTAAAACATAATTCAATATTATTGATTTGGCATTCCATTTAATCAATATATAGAGATGTGAGTCAGGTAACTAAGATGTTTGTTAGTAAAATAGTCCAATTACATACATGGCATTGCAAGCAACACCTTATGCATTATGAGATTGGATACATCGCTTTATACGCATAACATTGATGGTTTGATGGGTTCACTAATTGTTTATATGATGATTAAAGTAAAAATGAATATGATAATAGCATTTTTAATAAATACGTGAAGTATAAATATAAAATTATTTTACTTTATTTTATGAATGTTAAAATTTTATGAATATCTATATTGATGCATTTACTCAATAAACTATATATATATACTCAGAAATAACATAACATGTAATAAGGATTGTAATACCTGATGAAAGGAGGGTTCAAGTTGGTGTGTGATAAGGAAAGTGAAAAAAAATAAAATAAAAAAAAATTGTGTGGTTAAATTTTTTTTTTCTCCCTAAATGAATGAAGTGATTAATTGAAATGGTGAAAATAAAAAAATAAATAAACAAGGAAAAAAGTCAAGGGGAAGTCTATGTCAGAAGAAAAAAGAAAAATGATAGGATGGGGTTCTTATTTCACATAAGGCGTTTACTCCTGAAATATTTATACACATATATATTTATTATATTTTAAAATAAAAAATTGAAAAAAATAAATTTGATTCGCTACTTGTTTTTGTTAAGTTAGTCATTATTGAAGTTATTAATTGCTTTAATTTCCAGAGCAAAAAGATAATTTTATGAATTGGAGTTATTACTTGCTTTAATTTCCTAGAAATTGCAAATGTGTAAGCTCTTCTCTTTCTCCTTCAAGGCATTGAGACTTCACCATAATTAAAGGGACCATTTGCTATAAAAAAAAGTAAATAAAAAAAACAAATTAACAAAACTGTAAGTATGTAAATAGACATCAGAAAATAAATTTAAAAAATATATATATATTGGGGTACAGTATAACGAAAATTCCACTATGACAAACAAATTAATTTTAGAATAGGGAGAGTGTATTAGTAAGCTCTTGCACACTTTGCTAAGTTGCTTTCCCGATGAAAGTAAGCTCTGTACCATAATACGGAGTATATATTTTAAATGGGTTTAGAGTACCATCTCTAAACGAATTGTCCCATTTTTTTTACCCAATAGAATAATTCTTTTCCTCTCCAGCCTCTTTCTCGTGCATGGCTGATACAAAAAGTAAGGCTCACAAATTATGACTCGATCTGTTAACACGATTCAAATATGACACGAAATAAGAAGTAAATTTGGGTTGACCTTAAACAAATTCGGATCATAAACAGGCTGACATGATTAACTCGTTTATTTTATCGTGTCGGGTTATAATTGCGGGGTTCAATTCGTATAACCCGTTTATGACTTGTTTAACTCAACATGTTATAATCGTGAATATGAAATATGTAATATGTTACCTGTTTAAACCCAATTCCTATGGATAATTAAGTCATTTCAACATAAACCTTGTCCGGTGCCTTATGCCTTATGATTTTTTTTCTTATTTTGGTTAATTGTGACAATTTTTTTTTTTTTTTTATTAATTATTATTTTATTAAATATAAAATGTCTCGTTTTGATAAACAAGTCATTAAACGGGTTAACACGTTTACCTGTTTAATAAATGGGTTGAGTTACTGTTGAGGGTTCTTGACACGATTATTAAATAGGTTGAGTTTGAATTATTAAACAGTCTCGGATCATGAATGCTGTTGCAGTAGCGGGATACTGTCCCGGTCCTTCTAATCCTGTGAATCATGGTGATGAAGCAGCAGCACAGAGGAGGAGGAGATGAAGTCAGTAGCAGTCTCAAAACACAATATATCAAATTCATAGATCATATATATCACATCTGTAGATGGTTTTGTGCATTTTGGTTTGGTGATTATCTGCAGCATTCAACAATGTGTATAAGAAAGTTGTTTTACAATTGTCGATGCCAATTATTGATCACAATGTATACTTTTTTGTGCTACTGAGATGGGATTGTTTATGCAACATTGCTTTGTTGCAGTATTGTTTGTACTCTTTTCATCCTAATCAATGATTCAAATGTGAATTAAGATGCATTTTGTATGGTTTAGACACATTGTTTGGCATTTGAGAGAGTTTTTTTTGGTTCGGTATGTATTGGTTCAAGTCCCTGTTAAAACAATAGGTGTGTTTAAATAATATAAAAAGTAAAGAAATGTTGGCATTAGATTAGTCCTAAGTGTCAACCATGTAGATGAACTTTTTCCAATTTATGTGAGAGATTATAATACTAATTAATTAAGAGTTATAATGGAGAGTTTCAGACTAGGTTGATGTGAATAGAGCCTGAGTCCACTACTAATGTTGTCGAACAATCAAACTCAAAATATTTTTCCTTAATTTAGTGTAAAAATAGAAAATTATAATAGATAGATTAAAATCAATAACCCTTGTATAAACAGCACTTATTTCACACATGTATAAAATAGGATTAAAAATAAAAAAGAAAATTTATATTATCCAATGAGAACTTTGTTCTAAAAATACCTTATCCAAAGGTGAACATTGTTCTGGAAATACCTTCCCAAAAAAAAAAATGTTTTTAGAAAATAATTGAAAATTTTGTTGTGAGAACATAAATCTTATTTTTTTAACTAAAAAAATTATATACATCCATAAATCTAATTTAACACATATTGGTGGTTCCCATATATGGTAATATGACACAGAGATAGGAACCATTCATGAAGCTTAAAGTTTGTCTGAATCATGCTAAATTCGAAAGAGAAGGAAAATCAGGAAATAATGAAATTTTGGAATTAATTTGTCAACTTGGATCTTTTGCTTTTTGAACCTCATTGGGTCGGGTCAGCGGATGGCCTGAATTAGTTGGAGGCGAGTCAACTCACTTGGATTTGAATACTAGCAAAACAGATTCGCCGACGTCAGCTGCTCTGTGTTAACGGCCGATCCCTATCTAACTAACTTACAAGTCCACTAACTAACAGATAACCGACTTGGCTCAAGAAGTAGAGAGAGAAATTAATTACTTGTAGAGAGAGATTGAAGTCCGTCCTCTATATATAGCAGGCCTAGATCACCATTCGCATATCATTTTCATTCTCACAGTTTTTGATTCAGTTGATCAATTTCTCTGCAACACCAAAAGCTCTGAACGAAGAAAACAAGAACTAAAAGGAAAGATCGACAATGACGGATTACGATCCACGTCGTCCATTGCTTCAGCCAAATGAAGTTGCAGTATTTCACGGACTCTTCCAAGTCGAATCGCGGTTCAAGATCAAGCAAAGTTACTTCGAGACCGGGAGACATTCAACCATGCGTAGACACGCCATTGCTTGCATTCAGAAAGTACGTAAGAACGCGGATGATGATCTTCCACTCCGATTGAAATCATCATCGCGATCGTTTTCTTTTTCTTCTTGCATTAGTTAATTTATCTCAAGATCGATTGTTGATATATCATTGTTGATTTCTGAAACTGATTATTAATTCATTTCTGTTTCGTACTTGTTATAGTATTCCGATTGTCCGGACTTTGATGCTTTCACACCGTATCTTGCAATGAACTATTATGACAGCTTCCTCTCGGATCATTCACTGCCGGTAAATTAAACGGAAACAGAGTAGAAACTTAAGTTTTAAAAAATTTCTTTTCCTTTCTTTTCTTCTCTTTTATGCATGTATTTTCTCGGCAACCAATCGGATTCTTGAGTTCTAGTTTCTTTTTTCTTTTTTTCTGTTTTTCGATTTATTGCTTCTTGATCATCGAACTAGATTGTGATCATTGGTGATTTTTTAAAGAATCTGAATCTTTTTGTGATCTGCTGCCTCACAATTGCTTGGAAGATGAGGTCTAAATCCTTCTCGGTTACTAAATTTCAGGTGAACTCTTAATCTTTTCTCACGATTCCTTTATTATATATAAATGTATTAGTAATAATTGATGATCAAGATTTTATGAAAATTAATGTGCGTTGAAAGTAAGTTTCTTTCTTTGATCTTCTCAATACAGAATGAAAACGAATTGGAGTTTGCGAGTAAGGATCTTATGAAAATGGAGCTTCATATACTCAATACACTGAAATGGCGAATGCGATCTTTCACTCCGATATGCTTTGCGAAATTCTTCTTTTCTCAATTGAAGCCAACAGGAGAACAATTGAAAACGAGACCTGTTTTCATAATCATCATAAGATCTCAAAACAGTAACATTTTCTTTCTTCTCTCTCTCTTTTCTTTATTATCGTTTGGAATTTACAATTTGAATCTTGATTTATATTCACTTTCTTGCATTTTCTCATCAAACAAACAGTGAGAAATATGGAATTTGATCCAGTATATATAATCAACTATTTGAGTTTTATTATTTTTTATCGCAGATATCGCGTTCACACAGTTCAGGCCGTCGGTAGTGGCTGCATCTGCAGTTCTCAAGCATTTGTCGAATGTGTCTCCCGAGCAATTGGATGACTTCAAAGAGACATCTTGCACTTTTGTTCCAGCGGTAACGAACTGATCAAAACTAGAAAACTGAGCTGTCAATTTGATCAATCAATTATATGTGTATATATGTATATATATATATATCCTCAACATTATAATTTATACTGTTACTGTTTCCGTGCTCTGTTTCCATACTGACTTCTTTACAATAACTTTCAATGTTTAGATTGAACTATTTTTAAAAATACTAGAAATTGCTTTTCACTTATGGTACTAGATTTAAAGTATAGTTGTTTGGTTTACAGTGGCATTATAAGATATGTTGTAATTGGGGAATTTGGTTATAGGATGAACTAAAGTTGTGCCTCGAGGAGATGGAGAAATGGTACAAAATCCAATTCGGAGATGGAGGCGGAGGAGGAGGACCACCAGAAAAAAGACTCAGTGAGACTATTGATATTCCAGGGGCCAGAGGTGGTGCTAGTTCTTCATCAGCCGCTGGCGGTGGAGGTGGAGGTGGAGGTGCCGATTCTTTACCGACACTGTTAGATGCGGCTCGGCCATCAATAGCATTCAGAGGACAACGACCTGGCAAAGACACAGTAGCAGAAGAAGACGAGGATGTGGAGGAGAAGGAGGAGGAGGAGGAGGACGTTCTGAGCAGTTTAACCAGTGCGAGTGGTGATGCATCACCGGCACCGTCAGGACGACGACCTGGCAAAGAGCCAGTAGTAGAAGAAGAAAAAAAGGAGAGGGCAGCTAAGGAGGAGATCAAAGAGGCTGAGGAGGAGTTTTTGATGAATTTCCCACTGGAGTGGACTTCTGATGATATCAAAAAAACCGCCAAAGCCCTTTCCAAAGGTGGGTTTGCTGGAATTACGCAATTCTGCGACATACTCTAGATGCAATATTACTCTCATGAGACTACTTACTAGTACTGGACTTTTGACCAATTACTCAACGTGATGTAATAAAGTCTCTTATGCTACTTACTACTACTACTACTCTTCCTTTTCTGGAGGCATTTACTATATGCTTGAACCACAATTTTAGACTTGGGTATTCAATTTCTGCATTCTTTTTTCCTATAAGTTTTAAAATTGTTACTCTGGGGTCATTCAGCAAAAACTACTCCTCCATAGTCATGGAACTAATAATTTATCCTTATGATTTTTAAATGTTGTGTTTTTCTCATGAAGTCTCTAGTTTGAAGTTGAATCTATGTATTTGATGTCAATAAACAGAATTTCAAATAGGGGCCATGGAAATAGCTGAACACGATGAGAGCAAATGTTATCCTGACACCGTTGCTACAGCTCACATCACTGATGACCCAGGTAAACTTACAAACTGGTTGTTCATTATACCATGAATGTTGTTGTTAGAGGATTTTTAGTTGAATTTTTCAGTTAGTAGCAGGTTGCTGAAATACATGTTTTGTAAGTCTTTTATTTGCCCAGTTTATTATATATATTGGAAAAACCTCATCCTTTGGCTTTTAAATGACTTACTCTTATGATTTTTATTTGCCCAGTTTGTTCCATGACTACTCCTCCATAGTCATGGAACTAATAACTTATTCTTAGGATTTTTAAATGTTGTGTTTTTCTCATGAAGTCTGTAATTTGAAGTTGAATCTATGTATTTGATGTCAATAAAATAGTGGCCCTGGAAATAGCTGATCACGTTGCTTCCTATGAAGCTAGAGTATGTAATTTTTTTTAATCCTTTTTGAAACCACACACATATTTATGTAGTAAACTAAATTAGTGTTGCAATGTCCAACTATTCTGTTACATGACTTATTCTGAGAAGGTTTTTCTTGTCAGCTGTTTTTTTTTTTTTTTCCTTTCTACATTGAGTCCCTTAATTCTGTAAATGGAGAAAATATAATGTAAATACCATTTTTCATTTATTTCTGTCATTATTTGTTGAAGATTTTTAGTTTCTCATACTTTTCTTTGAATGCAAAAATTGCCTACAGAGCAAGTTTACAAGGAGAAGGCACAGAAGAAACTTGAAAATTTCCAGATCCATGTGAAAGAACGTTTCCGAGCATTGATTGCTCGTAGTGACCCCCTCTCACTTTCATGGATTAGACAACTCTTCAAAGTGTTCCTTTCATGCCTGAAGGAATTTAAGGAATTGCTGGATCATAATGGAAGGGACCTAAAGAGAGGTGTTAGGAATCGTTTAATCAGTCCATGTGTGTTTATATGTTTGAGATCTTTGGAATTGCTGAATGGGATCCGGGATGGACTTCTTTATGTCGAAGAGTGGGGTGGGGAAGTGCTTAAAATGTTGCTTCTACTGTGCACCCCCAATGTTGGGAGGCCCCAGTTTGATAAAGCAAGGAATGCACTAAACAGATTGAGTATTTCAATCCAGAATGAAAAGGAGTCCAACTGGGCCCTTGCTGATAGCATGGAAGAGAATGAGGGAAACCTGAATTTGGAGCCTGCGAGAAGGTTTTCTTCTCGAGTTTCACGTATGTGGTCAGCATCTATGCAATTAAAATTGCTTAGAACAAGTTTGTTCCTTCCAACATTGGGAGATAATGCTGTCACAAATGGGATTGCAGATTCAGCATTTACAATGGGATGTGTGCAGTTCACTGTATTGTTTTGCCTTGTGGCTGCAGTACCTTGCCAAGGCCGGCGCATTGATGCTTCATTTTTCGAAGAGCATATGAGCCCATATAGGTGGTATGAACCTCTCCATTCGATCTGGAAGAAGATCTATGAAGAGGCGAGGAAGGCAGAGAACTTGTACTGTTGTGGATTGCTGAATGAAGTGTGTCTGATTGAGCAATGTACCAGAGACCTATCTAACCTGATCAATTCAGTTGAGTATCCATTAACGCAAGAAAACAGAGAGGAACGGGCTCAGGTCGTGAAGAAGCTAAGAAACATTGATGCAGCATTGGAAGATGGATTGGAACCTCTTGATGAAGAATTGAAGGATGGGTGGAGTAAGATCGCTAGTTTCCGAATAGAGGTTGAGAACTGGAAAAATTGGCTTCATGGTTGAATTCTTTCATTTGGGAAAGGTGAAGGTATACTTCTTTACTACCACGGTTTTCGTACATATTAGCTGCAAAAGCTATTTTGTTGTGTTGATTTGAATTTGGACATATTTGCAATGTTTGCAAATCTATTTCATTCTCTTACTGAACATAGTTAGGGGTACAGTGAACCTCTTATGGGTTTGAAAGAGATACAATACTATCTTTTCCTTAGCTATGAACTAGGGGAAAAACATGCATTACTCTTTTTAACTATTGTAGTGTAGTTAATGATTAGTAGATTACGCTCCTTGCATATGACTTATTGGCTTCTCACGATGAAAAACAAATATGAGGCTAAAGCCAATTAAGAAATATGTTATGACATGAATAAACACAATTTCAACTATCAATCAAGCAGATTGGGAAGTGTCAATGACTGTGAATTTGTCTATATGCATTGCTTTCTTTACTAACACATGTAATTATTCATTAGCGGACTTGTGTTGGGATGCTCAACATAACATGTTACCGAACGCAACACCGGCATGCCCTAGAGGTTGACTGTGCTCTTAGCCTTGATAACTTCTTCAATTTTTAGAAATAGTTAATTTTAGGATTTGTCAGAAACTACCAAGATAATATAGTATAATTGAATATAAAAAATAAATAAAGTTGTGGACCACAACAACTGCAATTTATGTTTAAATCCGCAGCTTAATTAATGGATTTTGGATGAGTGATTTAACTAATTAGATCATAAATGGGTCAATTGTTAAGAAATACTTTTTTTTGTCTTAAAATAAGTTTCATACTTTCTTTTGTTGTCTGTCTCAAAGTAATTGTTCATTCTCTTTTTTTCAAACAATATATTTCACATCTTTCCATATATATTTTTTCAATTTTAAACTTAGATATTTAAAACTTAAAAGCTCATGTTAATAATATTTCAGCCCAAATGTCTTCTTAAAAATTACTACTTTTCATAAGTAATACTTAAATTAAAACGAAAGAGTAGTATAAATAGCAGTTGAAGAGTGGATACCCACTGTATAAACTAATAATAAGTCACTCAAACATAAACTTGAATTCTTTTAAAAACTTTTGCTTTCACCGGATGTAATTTTTAAGTTCATCCTCACACACCTCTTTGTTTCTTCTCCAAATGATGTTTCTCTATATTGCGAGGATTTGAAAAAAAAAAAAAAAAACACTCTTTGTCGTCTTTGATATATATGGTTCGCTGGATATACCATTATATATATATATATATATTTAGAGAGAAATAAAAGTGAAAGTGATTTAATGAGAAAAGGGAGAGAAATGGGGACCCCTTTTTTTTCTTTTTTAAAGTCCGGTTTCATTGTGTGTGTTTTGTTAAAAAAAAAATTATCCAAAGGAGAAAATAAAAGAAAAAGAGAATGGACTACAGTTATTAGTATACATAAAAGGTACTGTCATGCTCTTACAAATAATCTGGTCAAACTCTTCAATTACGCGATTTTTTATTTTTTTTTACAAGTATACGTGATTTAAAAAGGGTTAGATATACTGAACTTAGGTTTGCTCTAATTACACTTGAAAGTTGTTAAAATTTTTGTACTAACTTCCCCTCACTTCTTACTAATACCTCCTTCCCTCCAAAAAGTTGCATGATGGACTAAAATGCCCTTCTCAAGATTTGAAAAGACTGCACTACCCATACAATAACATATAATTACAATGCACCCAAACACACAATTCAATAGTAAATTTGAATTGCACAAAACATAAATATATATATATATATATATATATATATATATATATATATATATATAAACTGATTTATATAGAGATTAGAGAGTAGAGACTCGTATTTATGACAATTGTTGGTAAGCCCTGTACCAAGAATTTCAGTAAAATTAAGGCTTCTAGGTCAGAGCCCTAATGTGTTGGGTCAGCAATTTTGCGGCACCATGATGTTAGGTGGGATACACCTTACTTGAAAAAATTATGGATGCTTTGTTAAAAATTATAAAGGGCATTAACTTTTGTTAAGGCTAGCTAAAAATGTTATCTTTCTTTTCCTCGATGGATTCACGAGAAAACAAAGGAAGGAAGAGAGTCAAATTTACCTAAGTTTCTACCTGTATCTGAATCAAGTAACATTCGGTCTAAAAGACCCAATAGACATTGAAGCTGTAGGTGCAGATCTAGCTAGTTGCTGTCCCCGAAACCTTACGGCTCATTCATTTGTCTCTTCTGTGATTGACTCTCAGAAGTAGCACCTATACTCCTGTCATGCTTGTAAGACTCCCGTATAGCCTTTCTTTCCTTACTCTTTGCCTCAACAACTAAGGCCTTTCTCACTACCTTTACATATTTTGTCAACTTTGCGGTGGCCACAATTGGCCTAATAGTGAAATCAAGGCCATTAACAAACTTCAACGTCTTCTCCTCCTCATCATTAGAAATTTTCGATGCAAACCTCCAAAGGGATGTGAACTTATTCTCATACAGGTTAGAGAAATGATCAAGTCAATCACGTCACTTATGGGCATCATCTATGTGATGTTTCCAATTTTCGGCATTTTTCATTTTTTCGGGTCGGACGGTCCCGTGTGGGACCCGCTACCAGAATTGTTGCATCCGGGGATTTTAGTTGGGTTCATTTGCATCATATTTATTTTATTTAATGTGTTGTATAAGGTTGTGCATTATTTTATGTGTATTTATGTATGTAGATGGTGTAAATTAAAAATAAAAGAAAAAGGAAAATAAAAGAAATTGGCGGGACCTACCACCACCACCTTAAAGGGTTTGAGACCACAATTCTTGGTCTCTCATTTCTCTCTTTCCCTCTTGTTGCTCTCTCCTTTTCCTCTCAAACTCTTTTTCTTTTCTTTTTATTCTTTTTTTTTTTTAATCAAAACTTCAAGTTTAGATTTCTCCTTCAATACTTAGTGTTTTTAAGTGCCGTTTGCGGCAAATTGAAGCCCGCAACGAGGTCTACGAGTTGATTGGGGCCAATCTCCATTTGGCCATCATTCGAAGGATCTCTAAATCCTAGGGTTTGAGGTGAAAATTAGGGCTTTTGGCTTAAATTGAGGTAGGGGTCTCTAATTCGCATTTTTTTTGTTCATTTGTGAGTCAATTTCTGTTAATTGTTATTAGCATGATTAATTGATGTTAATTACCCCAGAATGATTTTATGGTGGTATATAAAGTTCATGATTATGTGTAAATGTTGATTTGTATGAAAAACATGTCTAAGTATTGATTTCCAATATTATTGTGTTATTAAATTGCTAAAAGTGATGTATGCAAACATATATGATCATCCTTGAAATTATGATAAAGAATGTTTTATTGTATTATATGAAAATCTTTTATTCCATAATGTTGTAGACATGAGACATACATGCATGCCATTGGACAATGAAGAAAGGGAAATGTTTTGAAATGAATAATTAAAAGGGGTTTTGGGAAACCTATTTGAGAAAAGGATTTTGGTGAAAAACCCGGACGCCAAGGGGGTACCGAGGGTCCGTGGCATTAATGTAGCCTAGAGAGAAGTAGGGAGATCGCCCTAGCATAGTTGAGTAAACTAGGCCCCAAATGACGCCGCGAGGTTACCAAGGGTCAGGGACAGTGGACAATCCTTCTTTTGTGTCGCCAAGGGGGTACCGAGGGAAGGGTTACGTTAATGGTTTGAAAAGTGAAGTTTTTAAAGTGAATTTGAAAATGGGGAGTGACATGTATAACATTGCATTTATGGCATAGAAAATTGTTAGTCTTGAACTTGAGAAATTTATGTCGTGTTTTCACCAGTTTAGAATGATCCCTATTCAATATTTGGATTCACGGGGCTACAAGAGGTGTGTCTTAGGCACCTACTGAGCAAATTCCTCACTCTATTATTTAATATTTTTCAGGACATGGAAAAGAAGTGGTGGATGACGTTTCACCACAGGCCTAGTGTGATACCCCTCAGATCCGAGACATGGGTTGATCAGGCCCATACCCAAACCCGAGGGAAATCAAACAATTAAAGTATTTTAAAACGAACACAGATGAAAAAAAATGATTTAAGAAATAAAAGAATAAGCGGAAAGAAACTATAAAAGAAATCCTCAATAGCCTGATAAAACTTAATAAAATCCAACTTCCAAAACTTCCATGAATTACAACTCGGGAATCCATCTAATGGACCCCTAACTAAAAATCCCAACTGAAACGTAAACAACTGACATAAAACCAAATACTAAAATATGGAAGGACATCCTACGTCGTCAGTGGAATGAATGATAATCCCTGCATAGCACGATTAAGCCTAAGACTGGAACCGTCCGATACCTGAAAAATAAAAGTGGATCAGGCCCACGAACAAGTTCTAATCTAACTGCAATCCATACAGTGACCCGATACGCAGATACACCTAAATACCTCACAATATCTATCTAGTCCATATATATATATACACACACTATAGGACCTTCACTGGACTATAATGAGGTCTCAACCTGAGTAGAAGGCAACATGCAAAAACGCACCCAAAGGTGGGCATGAATACCTACCTAGACCTAACAGGGTACACCTCAACCATCATATCCAGCTATGCATCCCAATGCATATACGCTCCCTAACCAACGACTCTGAGACTCATGCCCATATCGTGGTGCCATAACATATATATAAAGTCCGTCTAACCCAAGGTATGCCATTTTATTGTTTATTGAATTGACATAAGAATTTTAATCCAGTTTAGTCATTCAACTTAATCAGTCGATCTGACTTAAACACAACCAACATCTAATCCAGGTAGTCATTCAACTTAATCAGTCGATCCGACTACACACAAACACAATTAATCCAGATAGTCTTTCAACTTAATCAGTCGATCTGACTAAACAAGGTTTATGATTCAATATTTTACAATCCTTCCCTTAAATCCAATAGGTTAGGTTTATGCGTTTTGAGCTAAACCATCCCTAGTATGACACCGTCCCATATCGATTCATACCATCATCCACAACCATGTAAT